TAGGCATGACGAAGCAGATATCGTCCTCTTTTGGAAGGCCAAACAAAGTAGTTTCGCTTTCACAACGAAACACACAGCGCCTTCACGACATGGCGGCGGCAACAATACTACAGCGAGAATCAAAGTTATGCCTTCTTTCTTTGCATGAACATTTGGGCGGTGTTATGCAAATCTTCCCACATCGTGACGTAGACATGTGGGGGCGTGTTAGAACGAGCCGTTTTAGGTAGGCGTGGTTGACCCTTAACTTTTATAAAGAATATCTCTTTGGATTTGAGACTTTAGTCTTTGCAACTTTACAGATCTTCTTTATGGACCAAGAGCTTGTAAAACTTCAAAGAGAGGAAAAATTGAAATCGCATCATATGACCCCTTTAAATAATGTCTTAAATCTTCCAATGAAAGCTGTAAAAATGAATTTAGTTGGGATTTTAACAGACCATAGTAAGGTTTGCTGCAATGTTTATTTTCATGCCTGAAGTCTCTTCTTGAAAGCCAGTGAAGGTTTATCAAGAAGTTAAAACTATTATTGGTGTTGACTATCATGCTATTTATAAGGCATTTATATGAACCTGTGCCTGATTTCATTACAGTGAAATCTGAAACATGTTCCCATTAATTGTACTGTGTTTGCGTTTGCTTTTGTCTTTGCTTTCACAGAGGCAGGATGTTTTCTATAAAATACAAACTAAGTTTGCCATTACAGTAACAATCCTTTCTTTTTCAGCTATATGAAAACTTGATTTATAATGTATTTTGCAGTTTTAGCACAATTTATTAGTATCAGACTTTCTTTAATCAGAAAATTGTGAAAACAAACATTTCATGTCTTTTTTGGGGGGAAATATTAATGTGTATCGGATGTTTAATGTGCCTACCATATTACAAGAAGTTTTACCAGTAAATTAACTGAAAACTGAGCATATTGTGTGTATTTCTCCTACATGCATGGATGTACGTGTGTGTGTGTGTGTTTGTGTGTGTAAATACTTACATAATATCAGTCTTTCCCATGTGTGGGCTTGTCACTTGAACCTGTCTGTCTGTTAAAACTTAAAATAGAGTTGAACGCACAGAACCTGGAGTCTCAAGCCCCTTGTATCCAGTACAC